TATTCCTAAAGACAGTGAGTGCTACGGAACCAGTGGTACAGAACAGGGACTCTTTAAACATTTTTCCCTGGCAAACCCTTTTCACCTGGGAAATTTTCACACAACCATAGGTGTGTGGGTACATAAACCCGCAATACACTGATCATCATAAAGAAATTCATTTTATAATAACTCCTTGATATGCATATAGTCTTACCACTTATTAAAGATGCAAGCAAATGTGCATGGCTCTAAGATGGACTTTTTGAAATTTCATGCAGAGAAAACATGGCTGGTGTTTGGCATGCAGGAGAGAGCCTCTGCCCTGTTGTTCAGGGTTGATTGATAGTTTCATTTTATAGTAGCCAATGCTAAGAAAGACCCTTGCATAAATATGTAGCATAAAGTAGATTTAGGGCCATTCCATAAATTGTTGGAAATTCTGTCTAAATTGCAGGCTGAAATTCAGTTATTAAAGCAGAGTCCTGTGCTCCGGTGGAAAACCCCACAGCTGTGCTCGAGTGGGGGACCCTACGGCTGTGCCCTAGTGGGGGACACCAAGGCTGTGCCCCGGGGGGGACCCCAAGGCTGTGTCCCAGTGGGGGACCCCAAGGCTGTGCCCCAGTGGGGGACCCCATGGCTGTGCTCCAGTGGGGGATTCCATGCTGTCCTCGAGTAGGGGACCCCATGCCTATGCTCCAGTGAGAACCCTGGAAACCCCATGCCCATGCATTTATGGGAAGCACTAGCTGGACCTAGTGGGTTATCAAAAAGAAAAAAAAAAAGATTTGAAGTTGGGAAAGCAGAATGTTAAGAGGAATATGGGAAGCTGTGGGGAAATGGCATAGATATGATCATATTTCAGTATACATGTGTATGAAATTCTCTTTTAATGATAAAAGTAAAAGAATGATGCTTAAGAGATGTGTAGGTGGCAGTGAAATGACCTAGCAACATGCCACTAACATTCTGGAAAGGCAAAGAAAGGAGATGAGACAGACGTAGTATCTGAAAATTGGTGGCAGAGTTCCCCAAATGAATGTGAGTCAGCACCCCAAGGATCAGATACCGTCAAAAGAACTGAAAAACACGTGTGATAAAGAAAATGAGCAAGGAACGAAAACGGGAGGAGCTCCAATAAGCTCCAGCAGCTCCAAGGAGGGTGCATCTGGTTAGACCCCAGAGGAACTGCAAACCAGAGGACAACACGTTAGCATCGTTCCACTGAAGGAGCTGTACTGCAGGTGGAAAAGAATGTGGCTGCTGGTGGGAGGACTGAGACACAAGAAGGACAGAAAGCGTGGAAGATGTTAAGTATAAAAGCAGGTCTAGGGCAGAAAAGACAGTTCAGTCTAGGCAGGAGAGATGGCTCAGTGGCCTAGAGCACTGGCTGCTCTTCCAGAGGACCCGGGTCTATAGCAACGTTGAGTGTAAAGATGTCTCATGATGATTTGGTTTTCTTCTTGTTTTATGAGACAGGGTTCCTCTGTGTAGCCCTGCCAGTCCTGGAACTCGCTCTGTAGACCAGAGTGACCTGAACCACACAGAGATCCTCCTGCCTCTGCCTCCCGAGTGCTGAGATTAAAGGCATGAACCACCTGGGCTTTCTGCTCTGTTTTGTTGTTTTTGTTGGTTTTTGGGGGGGTGGGGTGGGGGAATTCTCATAATGATTTTAAAATTCATGAAATATGGCCATGCATTTGGAGACACTTCCTTTATGACAGTGACAACCCTGAACAGCAGCAATGAAAAATGGAAACTATCGAATTATCATGAAGGGCCAGGGAGATGGCTCAGTGGGTAAAGGAGCTGGCCACCAAGTCTGATGGCTGGATTCAGATCCCCAGGACCCACGGGGTGGAAGAGAACTGACTGCTGATACACACACACACAGAGAGAGAGGAGAGAGAGAGAGAGAGAGACAGAGACAGAGACAGAGACAGACACAGAGAGAGAGAATAAGTGAAAATGTAAATGAAAGTTAAAATCAATATCATAAATATACAGATAATAAAATATGCATTAAAGCTGTATGTTTAAAACTACAAAACATTATGAGTGAGCTAACGAGGTCCTACAGAGAAGGAGATCCACTTTGTTAGAGCACTCAATATCTCCAAGACGTTAGTTCTTCCTGACCTATTTGAGACAGCATCCACCACTAAGTTGTGGAAACTTCCAGAGACCAGCATTAAAGAGCTTCTCCATGCTTAGTCATGGCCTCTATCTAGCTAGAACAAAAGAATTCTGCCAGCTGGTTGGTGACATGTTGGCCAATCAAAGTCCCGTTGGGACCTAAAACAAGCATCAAGAGTGGAATCCAGAATTTGATGAAAAAGAAAAAAAAAAACAAAGAAGCCAGAAAATCCAGGTCAATTTTGAAAAATAACTCAAGTTACCTGATTTCAAAAGTCACTGTAAATTTACAAATACATGCAACTCTATAAAAAATATATAGTCTAGACAATTCTGAACCAAAGCTAAGGGTTTATTCGGCCTCCAGGCTACACTCCGTCATCAAGGACGCAGGGCTGGAACTGAAAATGGCACTGGGGAGAAGCGCAGCTTACTGCTCGCTGACTTGCTCCACTGGCCTTCTTCCTTCCTTCCTTCCTTCCTTCATTTATTTATTTATTTATTTATTTATTTATCTGTTTCTTTTTCAAAACAGGGTTTCTCTGTGTAGCCCTGGCTGTCCTGGAACTTGCTCTGTAGACCAGGCTGGCCTCAAACTCAGAGATTCACCTGCCTCTGCCTCCTGAGGGCTGGGATTAAAGGCGTGTGCCACCACTGCCCAGTACAACTAGCTTTCTTTACAGCTCAGACCTGCCCACAGTGGGCTGGTCCCGCCTACATTGATCAGTAATTAAGAAAATGCTCAACAGGCCAATTTGATCGAGACAATTCTGCAGTTGAGGTTCTCTCTTCCCAGATGGTTTGTGTCAAGTTCACAGCTGAATCTTAACTATGATCAACATACTGGGAGGAAATATTAATTTTATCTCAACAAAGCATACAATGTATTAATATCTGGAGTATGTACAGTTCCCCCAATGCTCTAGTTTCTCATCTGGTACTTTGACAATTACCATGACCAAAGACAACCTGCAGGGAGGAAAGCTCTCTTTTGGTTTACAGGCGACAGTCCATCAGACAGATGCCTGAAGCAGGCTCCATAGAGGAGCACAGCTTGCTGGCTCTCTGGCAGGCTCATGCCTAGCTAGCTTTCTTATACATCCCAGGGCCACCTGGCAGGCAATGGTATAGCCCACAGCGGGCTGGGCTCTTCTATATCAGTTAATAACCAAGATGATTCACCACAGCCATGCACACAAGCACACAAACAAGACTCCCATCTCAGGCAAGTCTAGCGGAGCTGACAGTTAAAGCTACACAGGATATCTAGACATCTATACAAAAAGGACACCTGCATTTTAAAAGACAGGCGATCCAGGTTAGGGCAGCTGTCATTAATGACCAGTCACAAACTGCTTGATCTGACATGTAGTCAGGGAGATAAAAATAAGGTGATCACCACTCTCCTCCCATCAGAAAGACAGACAGAAGTCTTAAATAAAGAATAATCATGTCAAGTATTGATCAGTATTCAGGGCAAGCTACACAGTTAGGGATGGTGAAGACCACGTGGCTCATACTTAGATGTATCAGAAAACAAAAAAGGTAACTTTTAACATGGTTGGGTTTTTCTTTGCAGGTCTATTAACAGGTGGGCCTGTGCCATAAAGCAAAGACGAACGGACCTGACTGCTGGTGAGCACAGTGCAGGAACAGCCATGGAGACTGTGGAAGTCACAGGGGTCTGAAAGCATGACAGAAAGAGCCGACACCAACCCTTACTCCCCGAACCCAACCCCACCCCAAGCAAAGGGTGAGCCCCATGAGGACAATGCTCAAGCCCTCAATGCTCTCCTGGAATTAACTGCTGTGAACTGGAGAACCCCAAAATGCAAAAGAACAAGGGTGCAGTGGGTGGGCCCACATACCCTCCACTGGTTTTTGACGGCAAATGGAAAAACTACTAATAAATGTTATAGAATTTCCTTCAGGAGTTCCACATTTAAAGTTTTTTTTGTGGTTCTATGGCTGGTTGGGTTGCTCTTGAGTTATCCTGCATGAGTTTGGCCCTTTTGTTTTGTTTTGTTTTGTTTTTAAACTGTTTTCAACTTTGACCTTAATTAAAGTCTGGTTCTAACACAGTAACCCTTGAATACACCTGTGTACACTCATTTAGAATGGAGATCTTGTTTTTAACAATCTTCCTGAAAAGCAAGTTAGTCGTAGACATGAAGTGGTGCTTCCGTTGCTTAAAAGTAAAGATAAGGAAAACTAAAAACAGTTGTCTAGTTAACACGCCGGCGGTTGTAGTGCTCCGAAATGAAAAAGAAACAACCAACAGAGGTGGGGATGGAGAAATTCAAGCACACACAGAGCCCAGAGCTCTGAGGGCGCACAGGCATAAACAGGGCCAGTCCCTAGCAGCAAACTTGGGGCACTTTCTGAGCCAGAAGCGCTAACATGAAAAGGTGGTCACCCGCCGCAGCCCTGTCACAGGACCGCACAAGTAAAACAAGCTTGCGTATTTTTCCTCCCTCCCGCTTTTTCTTCTTTCTCCTCCCCTCCCCACGCGCCCTCTCTCTCTTTTAATTGACCACGCATTTGATCTTCGGGGTCATTTTGAGAAGGTGGGCAAAAACAGCTGAAGGAGTGCCAAGGACCTGCCATCCATTTTCCTATGGAGGAAAGACTGGAAGGGATTTACCCAAGGCTGAAGTCGGAAGCAAGGTGCTTCCAGGCGGGAATCCCAAGAAGAGAAATCAAAGATCCCATAACTTTAACGAGATGAACACTGGGACCAAGGACAGGCAGGGGGACAGCTCAACAGTCCCCATAATTCTACTCTTTCACCCCAAGACCATTGAGAGGTCCAATGACCTCTGCGCACCCAGAATCCCTCGTCAATCCCACACCCCACTTCCCGCCGAGACTGGGTCTAAACTCACAGTCTCGGCACCTCTTGCGGTCCGCTTTTTCAGGCGCCGCCGCCGCCGCCGCGTCCATCTTGTTGCGATCTGTTGCCACAGCAACCGCTGAGTGGCGCACACACTAGCAAGAGAAGCGATGATTGGAAAAGGCGGGCACCCCTAGCAACCGCCAGGTAGCGAAGCAATACATTTTATTTACCGTTTCTTGGGACAGACTTCACTCCCATCTCAACGCTATTCTTAGTCAGACCTTTCTCAGGTTTTCAAAGCCACTTCTCACATGATATCCGTGAACTCCTGCCTCTTCAAGATACATTAGATCCCCATTTCTAGAGTATTTATCCTGTGGTCCTTTGACCTCCTCTAGAGGTCCAGGAATGTCCTCCAGTTATGTGTTGAAGGAGTCAAAAGCCCATGTCATCCCGAAAGAGTAATTTCCAGATGGATCAGCCCGTCTTCCCTTTCTGAGACAGAAAACAAAGTGATGTTCTACCCAGAGTTTATTTAACTTGGCCCTTAAGACACCTCCCAACGACTTTAACTAGTGATCTTCCATCACTTGTTCAATTAAAAAAAAATCATATCTAATGATCAATGATTATTGGTCAAATATTAGTTATCAAGGGAATATTCTAGGCACTGAAAGATTGTAACTGCCAAGGAGGCTTCACCAGTTTACCTCACCAGGAGTTTCTGGTAAACACAAGGTCACAGATAGTACCGTGGTCAAATTACGGAGAATGCTGAGCACAGTGGTCGCTGGACAGGGTGGTCAGGGATGGCTTTCTTGAGGAGACAGCACAGGAGCTGGAGCATGGGAAGATAAAAATGGTGGAGAGGTCAAGGGGGAAGCAAGACGTGACCGAAACAGGACATTATGGGCAGACTTGAGTGTGTGTTAGTCCAGAAAAGGAGAGTCAGCGAGGTCGCAACAGAGAGGGCAGGAAGGACAGTGATAAGATGTAATGAGATGGTTCTTTGCAGAACTGCCCCCCCCCAAGTATCCGGTGCTCCTGTCCCCTGTCACATCCTATCACGTCACCCTGCTTATTTCCTCTGCAGACCTTGTTAGCATCTTTTCCCCTCTGGGCTCCATCAGCACGGATTGTGTTACTTGTATCCCAGCACCTAGAATTGTAACTGGTCCAAGACCAACACCAAAGAAATACCTGTTGGCTGCAAGAAGCTCCAGGCCACAATACCAGGACTCAGGGGCTGACTGCAGGTATATGGAAGAGAATGAGAGAAATACCTCTGCCTTCGGGAGTTTGAAGCCCTGTGAAAGAGATGAATTACAAACTATATTGGTAAATTCATTGTGTGCAGAATTGAATGATTTAGACTCTGAGTGCTGTTCTACAGCCTTCTGGTAGATTCTTTATTCTTTCAATTACATCTGAATTCAGGGTCACAAGTGTAGAATACCTACTGTGTATCGACACTGAGAAAAGCCATCAAGACCAACATCAACTCTGCCTGTGGAGATGTCCACCACAGCTTACATTCGTAGCCCAATAGCTCCTGTGGTCCTGAGTTCTCGATCTGAGTCTGGTCCCAACTGGAAGGTGGACTAGAAGTAAATTAGGGTCATAAAGACTTTGAGCAAAAGAAGAACGAAAAACCCCTTGGTATCTTCAAGGTTATTGGCTGAAGGAGTTCCCACAACACTTTGCTATTTTAAAAAAATATTGACCACATTGAAATGACAATGTTTTAGATATATTAGGTTGGATATACTGCTATTTAAAGTAATTTTACTTGTATCTCCATGATTTAATATGGATTTTAGATGTTAAAATACATATACAATTGACCTTAAATGTGCATTTGACAGTGCCTCTCCTCTAGGAAGTTCATGCCGGATGAATACACAAGTGAGCTCTCAATTTGATGTAAAGTAGTCATTTGGGGCTTGGCACATGGAATAGCAAATTTCAAATCGAGGAATTAGGCCAGTATTTTACAAAGAAAGCAAGGCAGACATATTCCCCAAGCTTATCACACATCCTGTGCATGCACAGGGCCAGAAAGGGACCACTGGGGAAGATTCCCTCAGACAGGGTTGAGACCTGACATTTTTGAAAACTCCAGACAAACCAAGGGGGCTTTGAGGAGACCCTGAGGCAGATATAAACCATGGTGCCAGCAGGAGTTTAAACTATGCAAGGGTATAGTAGGCTTGGCTCTGAACACCACTGTCAACTCTGAAGGGCAAGAGGTGAGCCCTTGAGTTGCCCCAAGCTGAGCAGAGAAAGACCTGCTAAGTTGGAAACAACCTTCCCTCTCCCCCGCCTTACCTCATTCCTCCCACTCCTTCTTCATTTTATGTGAGCATTCCGTGGTATAAGACGTGGGCTACTTCAGAAACTGTACCCAGTCCATTTAAGTCCTTTCTAGGAGGGAGACCTTAATGGGACAAGGAGACCTCAGCAAAGGGGAGCTGAATGAAACAGCCCCCCAAACCCGCACCGATGTTGTGCCTCCAGAGAGTGATTGGCTATGAGAACTTGTGAGTGGCATTAGGTACCCTTAAAAACAGGCTCAGGGAGGAAGTTCCCTCTTCTCCCCCTCCACCCTCTGCTAGGAGAGGATGCAATACTCATCACCTCCAAATAGAACATGTTGGTAGCAGAGATCTCCCAGAACAATGCATCTTCTGGAACTGTGAAAAAAAAAAAACAAATTAATTGTGTGTACAGTCTGTTGTTTATAAATTCTCTGGTCTTGGGAATTTTGTCAGAGAAGCACAAATATTAAGACATTTTGAAGGCAATGTCAGGTCCCCAGGAGCTGCAAAGAACCAGCCAGTCAAGAGGCCTATCTGACCTCATTTCTTATTGGTTTCCTACTTATGGGGTATGCTCCCTAAAGAACTCTCAAGAATTAATGCATCCCTTAACCACAGAAGTGTCAGACAAGAAACAACTTTCTTACTGTCCTTCCTTTCATGCTCCAATTCAAGAAGGGCCAGAAAACAGTTTTCCAGCTGTGAGCACAGACTGAGACATCAGTGAGGAGAGAGAGAGAGAAAGAGAGAGAGAGAGACAGAGACAGAGAGAAAGACAGAGACAGAGAGAAAGACAGAGACAGAGAGACAGTGACAGAGAGAATAAACTATGCCCCCCTGTGATGGCTATTCTTATCATCTTGACTACATCTGAATTAACTAAAACCCAAGATGCTGGGTTTTTTTTTTATTGATTGAATCATTTGAAGTAGGAAGATCTACCTTAAATTCAGATTTTTTGAGGTGGAAAGATTCATGGGTCACACCTTCTGGTGGTAGACTATATAAAGGACATGGAAGAAGGAATCTCTCTCTCTCTCTCTCTCTCTCTCTCTCTCTCTCTCTTTTTCTCTCTCTGCCTGCTTGATCTCTCTCTCTCTCTCTCTCTCTGGCAAGTTCATTCCTTCAGTGGCATCCGAACCCATTTCTTCAGGATTCCAGCATCTACTGAGGACCATCTGAGACATCCAGATTTGTGGGCTGAGCAACTATTGGGTTCTTGGACTTTCAATCAGTAGACAGCCATTGTTGGACTAGCTGGGCCATAGCCTGTAAGTCAGTCAAATAAATCCCCTTTATACACACATATACACATGTGTACATAGCTGTCAGTTCTGTTCCACTAGAGACCCCGACTAATAAGACCCTTTCATTTCCCCGTTACATTTCCTGTCTTCAGTAGATTCGAGGTAAAATAGAAGTCACACATTGTTTGCTTAAGGCGGCGGGGGGGGGGGGGGGAATCTCATGTAGCCCAGGCTGGTCTTGAATCCACTATGTAGCTGAGGATGACCTTGATCTTATGATCATCCCATGTCTACTTCTCAACTGTTGGGATTAGAGGTATGTGCCACCACTCCTGGCTCACAACTTTCAATCAAATGGCACTGAGACTGTTTTGACACCCAGGAGGGTCCAGAGATGCCTTGCCATTTGACTGTGTATATCCACAGGAAAGAAAATCATTTGCCTCACAAAGAAACTTTGAAGAGATATTAAAAGACTGCAATAAAGTTGCTTTATGAATGCAGCCCACAAGCCACGTTAGTTTGACTTAATGGTTACATAAGAAACATGAGCTAGGCTTTAAATATGGGCAGAACTGTGTTCATCTTGAAAAACACAGTAGTTGTGTAATGTTAGAGACTGGAGCACCTATTCTTTCTCCGGCGAGGAAATGAGTTACGGAAAGTCGAAGGACACCCCAGCGTCAGACCGTAGACAATCCCCCATCCCCAGAGGGATTTCTGCATCTTCTAGGAGGATCGGACAGTGGCTCTCTGCGGTTCCTGCTCCTCGGGGGCCATCTGCAGCTGATGCACAATGACGGAAGCCTGAACTGAGTGATGTTCTTAGCACCAGAAAGACTGGCAGGCGCACAGGCAGGGGAAAAGCAAACACAAAACCAGGAAGCCGCTCAGATGGAAAGAGACATCTCACCAAAGGCTGACGATGGAATTAAAAAGTAGGTGAAGCTTGTGAATGGTTTTTATTCACCTGAATCTCCCCTAAGTAAAGAGTGTAACTGGAAGGATACAGACTTTATCCTTAGCCAGACTCCTGAGAAACACCATGTTTGGGTCACATACAGCACAGGAGTCCAGCGTTTTGTTATTGCTAAGCAGTGAAATCTATAAGGTTGAGCATCTTCAGACCAGAAAGTGTGAAGTAAGCCAGATGCTGGGGGTGGGGGGACTCCATCCCATAATGCCTATCCACACAAGAGAGGGAACTGGGTGAGAACTTGGGAGGTAAATATCAAGAAAACCATAAAAAGCATCTAGAGATGAGTATGTACAAAACTCTGACAGCATAGCAGTTACTCAATACGGGAGCCATGATTATTCTTACTATGGAGATGATGTGGATTCTGCCATCTGTCGCTGCTCAGAACTCTCTGTGCTGCAGTGCCCACTTCTGTAAAGGAGGGCGGCTACCATCAGACGATTGCTAAAGAAGTGGGAGGTTTGCAGTGTTGAGCCCGACCTCCATACACTTTCGTATGTTCTGCTTCGCTTAGTCAATCGTCTTGGCTGCAAAGTAGAGGAACCCATTCAAGCT